TTCTGTTACGGCGGCGTCGAGACGTTCAACCATTTCATGCGGGTAATTTGGAGCTGCGATTGATGATGAGGGTTTTTTCTGACATCCAAGCCATATGTAGTATGGGATAAAGCCTAATAAGTTATTTCTTGAGTCTGCGCTGAGGACAGTTCCAAATCGATATTCGAGGTAATCTCTACGACCAGCTTCTAGATTCACACGGTCGACATCGAACCATGCTCGCCAGAAAAGTCTCCCTAACCAGTTCACATGTCGATTTATCACACCGCCAGTGTAGTTTCTACAGCTGAGATCCACGATCGATTGGACGTAGAAGTCTACAACACCGATCATTCCCGAAGGAGCGAGTAAGTTGGCAAGAGAGTCGATGACAGAATAAAAGTCAGGCTATAAATGGTTAGCAATTGGAATACTCCTATGCCAACGTAAGTGTTAAACACTCACAATCATAGATAAACTATAGGACAAAGTAATGAGATCCGCACCACCAACAGCATTCGAATCCGAGAAATAATTCGAAGTAGGCGACCGCGACAGATTGACATCCCCAAGCTCAATATCTTCATGGTCTTCTAGACGAAATGTGCGAGCATCCTGACATACAACCTTGACATTTTTCCAGCCAAGCCGCTTGAATCTCTTTCGTGCGACTTCACACAGACTGGGAGAAAAATCAACAAGATAGACGCTGGAGAAGAATTCTGGAACAGAAACATATTCGGACATCGCCTCGATGTTCCAACCAGTGCCACCACCAATCTACCCGTAATCGTTAGCAATTTGGATACTTCACAAGGGCTTCATAGTGAAAAAGTGCCATCTTGGATGTTTTCTAAGCAAAGAAAAACTCACATCAACCCAAATACGTTTCGTATCGTGAGTACGCTCTCTACTCGCCTTATTGACCAGTTGTGCCGCCACCAACGCCAACATATCTTTCCTCCCCCTCAACAACCTCTTCCTTGTCGCATCATACACTCCCGCCTGTGCTTTGTAAAAACTTTCCAGTGCATCTTGCTGGCCATTTTCGGTACCATCTCCATTATGCGGTTTGAGAAACGACGCATAGAAAAATCTCAAGAAGGATTTCAAAGCACTAGGATTTTCTTCATCTTGTGCCGAGTTCTTGGGGAAAAGAGAAGCATTTCTTGCAAAGAAAATGACAGCAATGAAGAGGAATAAAACCACAACTGTGGTGAAGATTTGATTTTGAGGCTCTCTTAAAATGTTAAGGGTAAGAGAAGCCATGGTAGTCTCTCATTACTCTGGGCAAAGAGATCTTGTACGTAGTTGATAGTAAGGATCAATGATGATAACAGGAGCGAAGAAAGAAAGATGAGGGGTAAGAGTATGTGAAATATCTAGTATAATCGATTTTCCATAGCTATCAGTATCAGTACCCCTCATTACCCGATGAGGCAACAACGGTGCTCCATTTAACCCAAGTTGCCCAAGAAGCCAATCAACCTATCGAGCCACCACATGGGCGATTATCAAACTGAAGTTCCTGCATAGCAATTTGCATCGAGGGCCCCACTACTTTAGTATGAAGATAGCCTGGGGGCTCCGCGTCTCATAGGCTACCTCTTTTAGTGAAAGAGGCAATGATTCCGGGGATTTTCGTACTTGAACGGCTTCCATTATGATCTATGATCATCTGGCCGTTTAGTGAAAACCTTGGGGAATTGAATTGGATCCCCTACCCCTATATTTGAAAAATTGATTGGAGGCAGTCCGTACCAAGTAAACATGTGCATAAAAGCAGAGCATTAAAAGGGTCGTTGGAAGCTTTAGTGTTTGTTCTCGCATTGACCAATCATAAATCATAAAATTCGCACGCGAAAGTTGATTGGCTATCCATCTTAAGCGATGGAGATGGAAAAGTGCCTAGATACCTGAATATCCAGTATTGGATTCAAAAACCTGCACAAATCAACGTAATGACCAAGGGCGCACTTACTTGTGTGGTCTGGACACGCTTCAAAATTGCTTAAAACATTCAATCACCAAGTCTTCTGCATTGACTGGTCGCAGATAAGAAATCGTTGGCCGTGGCCAGTTGCATTAATACGAATTCATTTTAAGACTAGGCTATAGCTTCACATCTAATGCTGGTCATATACAATATACCATTCATAGAGGTATGCGATCTTTGGCCACCAGAACTCCCGAGATAGATATTCCCAACACTTTTCCGAAATAAATAACAATCACAAGTACCAAGGTTTAATCTTCATCTTCAAAGCCGGCCTCGGAGTCTTCTTCTTCATCCACCTCAGAATCATCATCACTACCTCCCATTTCTTTTTCCTGCTCTCGTTCCAATTTCCTCTTTCTGTCTTCTTCCCTTCTGCCTTCTTCCAACATCTTCGCCTTCTCCTCTCTCTGCTTTCTTTGTCCAACAACAAATGCTCCCAGTGGAGTCTTTTCCCATTCAAATCCTTTCAAGAAGCCATCTACTCCAGCTCGATCATTGGGTGCGAACTCAACCTTAGCTCTCTTTCCCTCAATCCATTTTGAGTTTGCTTCCAACTTTTGAATAAGGAGCACAAACATGGAGTTTACTTTGCTGTTCTTGTTTCCAGAGCTCTTGTTCGAAGCATCCTTGAGCCATCGCTTTAACATTACGACAACCGGCAATGTGAGTTCTGGAAGTGCAATGCTAGTAGACCAGAGGACAAAGAACTCGGCAAGTAATTCAGCTACCTGCTCTCCAATACCATCTTGGTAAACTCGTGTACGAAGATAGGACTTTTGAGCCTTGAAATTGGATGTGAAGTCGAAGAATTTAGATGTGCTCGGCTTAGGGGGCTTCTTCATTTCTGCGGAGTTAAGAACCTCGAGTAATACAGATGCTAAAGGAATGTATGTTCCAGTGGCTCGCGAGAGTCGAAGTAAAGAACGGATTAAGTGGAATCGGAGTGGAAAGTAAGTGGAAGTTGGAATAAGACGCATAGCTCCAAGGATGACTTGAACGGTTGGGTAGATGAGTGGTCGAAGTTGAGATTCTTTTCCTGTTTCAGCCTCTTTCAGAGAATTGCAATGCTCAGCTAGAACAGTCGACCAGAAATCAAGCGAATGGACGTATTGCCAATTGTAGACTTGCTTGTATGATTCTTTCTGGTTGTTTGTGATGCTGCTTCGCAAATGAATTGCTAGCTGGCGAATAAATGTGAAACCGGTTGTATATCCAACACCTTGATCGATTCCCCACAATTCAGCGGCGGAGTTCTTCATAAGATTTATTCCCTGAATAGTATGAATGGTGGTATTTCGGCTTCCCTTGAGCAAACCTTGGTATACTGTCTTCATAACGGCTTCCCGCAATCCAGCATCACCAATTATTGCCAGGCGTCGAATAACCAAGAAAGCAGTGATTCGGGTTGCTTCTGTGCTCGAGGCATCGGACCAAATGTCTACCACGGTCTTAACGACATTCTTGAGAACTTTTTTGAAAGATAAGAGATATGGAAGAAGTGGTATGACCGAGGAAAGTGTGAGTTTGAGGGTAGAGGCATCAGACAGCGAAGCGAGGAGATGTTGAACAGAAGTAATGTGAGATCGCAAGAGGGGCGACAGCGTCTTGAACTTTTTCGAATCTGTTGATACTCGGACTTTGCCAGCAGCACTCTCCTTGACCGGAAGATGATGATTGAGAACTTCGGGAACTTGCTTCAAGGCAGCAAGCAAAAGCTCGTGATAGACTTCAGGATTCGTTATCGAGTATTTGTACTCCTTTCCATCATCTTCATTGACGTGCGCAGCTGCTCTAAAAGCCAGAACAACTTGTCGCATGGCCCGTAGAGACTTTTGCTCAGACATTGCTTTGGTCCACTTTGTAACCATTGCTTTAGTGACTTCAGAGGCATCTTCCTCCTCAGCTTCTTCTTCTTGCGCCTCCTCCTCCTCCTCTACCTCTACGACCTCCTCTTTCTTTGCTTTTTTCGACTTCTTTTGTTTCTTCTTTTTTGGTTGTTCATCTTCTTCACCACTCAACTCGTCAACTTCGGCAAAGTCTGCATCGTCCTCGAAATCCAAAGCTTCCGGGTCGTTCTCTTTGAGGTATTTATAAAATTCGGGGTCCTTCTCAGCAAGCGCATCCATGGCACTCTTGCTCATACCAGTCATCCCTTCGTCATTGTCATCATCGCCATCTTCACTGTCGCTCATTACTGGCGCCTCTCCAACTGAATCATCGGATGATTCTTCCTCTTCTTCTTGCTCTTCCTCAGGCTCGGTTCTCTTCCTCTTTCCTAACTTCTCTGCTCCCTTCTTTGCTTTTGATTTTTTCTCAAGCTTGGCTGGAACTTCGAAACCACCTTGGAAGAAATCATCGACACTCATCTTTCCGAATGCATCCTCTTTCGCAGATGGTTTAGGCTTTGAACCTTCCTCCCCATCCTCTTTTCCTCCCAGAAACTCGGCATCCTTAGCATTTCGAGCCGTTCGCTTTGCTTTCATTTGTTGTCTTTGCTTATACTTTGCGCCATCTTTACGCTTTTCCAATGTATCCTTGAGATGATTCTTCTCGAATTTACGAGTGGACTTTTTAGTACTTTTCGCCATGGTTGAATTGGAGTCTTTGATAATAAAATTGCAAAATAAATTCTAAGATTTTTTTGAGATGGAAATCTTTACAGCGATAAGCTAGTACCGATGTAGCGTATCAAAAGCGGTGAGAGTCTCGTAGCTTTTACTAGGAACCTTCAATTAATCAATCACAACCATTGGTAATCTTTCTCGCAGCAAAGCAGTTATCCACGATACCTTAAACTCTTTGATACATTGACTCCTTGGTACAATTCAATGTTGATAATAATATCTTGACGGAAACTCAAATACAAAACTTTTCTTATACATTAATTCGGGGGTTCCATAGCTACAAAATGTTACTCGTTACACAGCAGACGCGATTGCGACAGCCTAAGCTTTCCCCCACCAACAACCTGCGATAGACCCCCCAAGATCATCGAAGACATTAATCGAACTCCATAAACAATATGTATCAAAGCAGACAGCCGGCGTATGCGCCGACACCTCATAGTTATATACCGAACACAGCATTATCCGCAACCATAAATTTGGATGAGGTAAATATCTCTACCTGCTTGAGAATGCCCTAGCTCATTCCAAAATTCAGGAAGTGAAGCTCGCCGAGTCTAGAGCAGAGCGCGACCTTCAAGACTCACTTGCAGAAGTGTTCAGTATCATAATCACTTTAGATCAACTCGAAAGAGCCTATCTTAAGGATGCGATCCCAGAATCGGACTACACTGAGACTTGCGACCGATTATTGAAGCAATACAAAGCTATATTGGCAGACGAAAGTGTAGCTAGGGAGTTTGTGGATTTAGAGACCTTCAAGAATGAATGGGATGTGTGTATATTCCGAAACTTCAATCTTCAATACGTGATAACTGAGTGCGAATTTTTACAGATAGATGTCCCAAGAGCCACGGAAAGACTTCGAATTGGATTACCTAGCACCGTTACTGCACCCTCACATAATGCCTCCACTTCAAACAACAGCGGTACTAACGGAACGTTAATTCTCGAAGCGACACAAGATTTCATAACATTTTTAGATGCACTTAAATTGGGATTATTGGCGAAGGACCAACTACATCCGCTACTGTCAGATGTCATACAAAGTGTAAATAAAGTTACGGACAAAGACTTTGAGGGCAGGGGGAAGATTGTTCAGTGGCTCATTGCTTTGAATCAAATGAGGGCAACGGAGGAGGTCAGTGAGGATAAAGCGCGAGAATTGGAACTGGACATGAATTCGGCATATCAAGGATTTAAGGCGACCTTAGCTTAGAAGTCTACCAGGTTATCATAGGAGTCATAGGTGTAAACGCTAACTACCAAGCGATATCTATTTTGCGTATAGGGGCTTGACTGGACAAGGGGCTCCGGGTTCCTCTCACCATATAATTCACAAGCGGACTTGATTTGATCATAGGTTTTGGAAACCGTCACATTGAGGTTTGCTCATTTCCAAATCGCTGGTGGATCGTGTTGATTATTGATAATCTTGGATTGTCGAAGTTGTTTGTTAATGAATGTCATTTGATTCCCCTTAAAATGTTATACCAGAAATGTCCAGAAACTAGGGTACACAAATTCATCCTCGAAAATGCGTCTGACTTGCTCAAGAACAAACTTTTCTACCTTACCCACATTCTTGAGTACTTGCTTGCCATTCTCCCTTTGCCCAATTTCGCTCTCGACCTTGATCTCGTGCAGAAGAGCTCCCATTTTCATGCCAGCCGAAGCATCTGCGTCTTTCTCATCTGCACCAATAGCAGCATATGCATCTTCAGGCGATAGGAAACAGAAATGAGCTCTCTTACGAATGTATGCCAGAACAGCAACACCGTCAAACGATAGCCCCGTGATGTTCAATTTCACAGGAATGCCCACGAAGCTTGGCATAGGGTAGTCAAGTAAGATATCGACCGTGAGTGAAAGTCGGATATTTCCAGAGTATCGGACTCGGAATACAGTCTGAAGATCTTCCACCTTGGGCTCTCGAAATCTCCGTGGTGGTGAAGTTGGCTCTTCGTTTTCGCCAACGTGTTCCTCTGGTATCGTTTCTTCGGGGGCGCCGTCTCGAGTTGCTGGTCTAGTTGTTGAAGACGAAGCAGCGAGAGTGGATACACTGGCCTTCTCGCGTAGTGATTGCTGGTTCAGATCCGCAATTTGCGGAGGAGTCATGGACCTTTCACTCGCCGTGTGAGATAAAGGCGTATAAGATTGATTACGGAGCGCGGATAGATGTAGAGATGGGCTAGGTCGGTCCGGCCATCCTTGAGGTAGATGTGCACCGGCAACCGCGGCTAGTGGGGTTTGAGTACCAGATAATCCACTGGCTAATTGAGAATGGAAATAACTCAAATTTGATGTTCCACCTGGAATACCAGGTGTGCTAACACCTAAAAAGGGACTTCCGGTGTCACCAGAAGCTTGCATTGATCGCAGTCCAGGATATCGTGTGTCAATATATGCAGGAGGGGTTGATGTATGTGATGAGCCATTTGCCGTCCTCTCTACTCGATCCATCCTCCTTCTTTCTCGCAAAGTCTTGGCGACTTCATTCTCCTCATCAGTTTGAGAATTCTCAGAGTTCTCTTCGTCTTCGTCATCTTCTACATAGTCGTCATCGATATCCTCGTAGAAATCAGGTAATGGATCGCAAATATCTTTTAGTTCAACCTCTGGAGCAATTGAGCCAAATTCAAATGTGTGTACTTTAACACCCTTGATGAAGCGGGGCAAAGTCACGGTCTGGAATTTAGTATGTACAAAGTCCCGGATCCTTTCTGCGAGGGCAATTCCATCTGGACCAGTAGTCAATGTCTCCCAATTGAGGTCGATAGACATTTGGCAATGAATTTTCTTCTTCTTCCAATACGAACAATCAAACAAAAATGTTGATTACAGTGATGACGCAATTGCACTGATGTTTTTGTCGGCTTCAAATAACAAACATTCCTTTTGCTGATTGGATGGGGAGAAGAGAGAAGAGGGAGAAGAGAAGAACTATTGTTACCTTCTATTTGTTGAAGTGGTATTATTTAACATTGTTGTTCATGCCCTACACGTATTTTGTGCTTTGTAGACGAGGATGATGATTAGCAGGCAATTGACATCTAGATGGGGAAGTCATTAAAGCAGCAGCATTTGATCATTATAGCGGCACTCCATCACCACTCACCAGTGCTTACTAACTCCGCACCTCCGTTTTCCTCTTTTGATCTTACTAATTATCACCTATGCTTTTCACTCATTACATCCGCGGATAATTTTATTATTTGACTACTCCATAAATATCAATATACGAGCTGATAGAAAATAGATCAAGGGGAATCCTGGTCATGATCTACATCACTCGAGCTTTTAATAAAAGATAGCTCCATCATTTATCTTATTTCTTGGTTCCTGGTTACAGTACAATACTATGTACATTGTCGGAATTCCAAATCCTTTCGGGTACAAAACCTGAAATTAGAATCTCTAGTATTTGAACCACTCCGGGTCGTCTGCCGCAGACCCTTCACAGCAGCAGCTCCCAGCATCCAACTTGTAATGTTATTTGGATGACGTTGTCTGAGACGCAAGACAATAAACTATCACATAAGAGTTTCAGAATGACATCCGTCTAAAGACATTTGGTTTTTGGTATCAGTTTTTCACCAGAACGTATGGAGTAATATACCTGCATTAGTTTGTATGCAGTTATCTTCAGCTTCTCTGTCGTGTGATTTACTTGGCGCGCCAGTCTGCGTCTAATTAGCCGGCGCTTTTTTTCCTTGTAAAACTTTTTTGACGGCATAAGCGGGCATACCTTGAGCGCACATTTATAGCAAGGATAACCTTACCCTGCACAATTCATCACATTACAACATTACATGTAAAAATTTGGTCTGATGTCCCTGGGCCTTGAAGACTAGGCATCAAGGAGGCCTCTGCTTGTTTCGAATTTTTGATTTCGACTCATCATGATCTATCTATCTTGAGAAGGTCATTTCAAAATGCCACGATGTTGCATATAGGAAGATGGGTACTTTCCTCAATTTGCATGTAACACCTCATATTCTTATCACATTAAGTTTTGTTCCTCGTAAGTACGTGCCGCTCTTCTGCTCCCGATGGTATCACAGCTCCACAACTTGGCTGATAGCTGAGTTCTGGCCATCATCTCTCCGGGTTTGAGTGGTGCAGAATCTCTACTCAAAAGAATTCTCTTTTACCAATCCACTCTGTTTTAGGCGGTAGACGCGCTATGACATATTCATCTTCACTTGCTACTCTACGGATGGAAGGACACGACCAAGAACTGCCAATATTCGAGGTCCATTGATAGCGACATCGCAGATGTGGTTGCTCTCCGCATTGTCAGCACTAGAAAAGGAAATATCCGGTCCAAAAGAAAGCTAGGATTAAGCCTCCACTGGCGATTGCCTGATTTCTGACCAGCCTTATCACATGATTGAATATAGCTGCATGTAAAATGCAAGGATTTGCATCCCTGGACCTAGAATCTCAACCGCGCTTCTTCCCCTTTCTTATCGATCGGTGATAGCCCATGTCACATTCGTTGCCCGTTGCTTGCGGGATATTAGCCGCAATACGACTGATAAGACTATCAGTCAGTCGAAGACGGCGGGTGTCGCGCTCTCTCAGGGGGCCTGTAGTTACACAAAGAAAGCCGCACGGCAAATTGTTCAACCTCACTCAATTTTTGCTCCATAGCTAGCGTACATGGTCTTTTTTGCCACATGTTTGATTGGCAGAATTTCGGAAGAAAAGAGAGTTGAACATGAGGTCGTACTTTCGTGAAGAGGCAGTGGAACAATTGAATTGTTCAAAACTGTGTTGGCTGATATATTTGGTAAAATCGACCTCACTTGTGTACTCTTCACATGTTGCTACATTCAATATGATTTAAAGAAAGATGATTGCAATTAAGAAAAAAAGTGTCGACCAAAAATCTACCACAGCAGAACGAAAACCCCCCAAAAGTAACAACACAATGAGATATTGTCCCATGAACTCCCAAGTATGCTTGTATGATTACAGCAGCGATTCATGACCAATATTTGCACCTTAGATTTCTGACCCTGTTCTAAATTCGCCTCTAGCTCCAAACCCCTTCATCTGCACGGATGCCCACAAAATATCCAGCTCCACTCGACTAGTCCCGTCGGAGACGATTGGAGAATTCCGAGGTGCCGCCTTCGAATACGGTTTAAAGGTTCGAGGAAGCATATTCTCTGATCTTAAATCAGTAGATGACTAAGCAGGAATGTTGGAGTCGCACTTACTTACGAGGGACAGCCACTTGTACATGGTTCTCCAGCATTGGATGTCTCAATTTTTGGTCCACTTGGGCAACTTCCACTCGCTTTGCAAGCAGCACATTTGACTATCTTGGTGTCGAAGTGTCTGTTGCAGCTTTTGTAGACGACGTAGTGAGTGCACATTTTGGCGGTGATTGTTCGGTGAAGTATCGTGAGCTTGTAATTGAAATTTTGAATTGACCTATAAAGACGCACCGGAATTAGCATTGGATACCAACGGCAAGGATAAGTGCTAGAAACTCTTTATCCTAAGAAAAAAGTGAAGCACAAGTAAAGTTTGATACTTACTTGGACAATGGCGAATGTGCGTGAGATGATGTATTTGCTGAGGAACTTTTTATATGAGGAAAGCTGGCAGATAAATGTATTGTAGATGGTAGACTATTTGTGTGGTGGTGAACTTAGAAGTGATGATGGAGCTGTTGAACCTCTAAAATCATGGGCGACGGCAGCTTGCTTTATACACCGTCGTACCATTCCGAGTGAACGGTACTGCCTGTCATTCAATTTGGAAAATGTTGTTTGCTTTGCCATCCATCGCAGGATGTCAACACGAAGTCAGTCTGAGAGGGGGGGAAGATGCCTGCCGACGAGCTGGTGTGCCTTCTTGTTGGTAGTTCTTTCCGTAAGGGGTTTGATGTAGTTGGAATTGGCAGATCGAGCTGTAGCCATAGAGGTATCATACCAGGCTTTCCGTGAATACCAACAAGAAAATAGCCGTCATCCGCCGCGCAAACGGTTGGCTAGAGGATTAAGGAACACAGTGAGTGTAGTGGTAGGGCGGGCAGGTATCAATTCCATCGCTGACATGGTATCGGTAGGGCGCCATAGCTAAAAGCGCAAGCTCACATGGCCAATCCTAGATTGCAGGTACGGCGAAAGGAGGATCGATGCAGTTGCGGACAAGTCAAGCGTTCTGATTATTGAAAATTACAAAATGGATGATCCACCCGAGGCAGCAAGGACCTGCAAGGTTTGCAAAAGTTACAAGGACCAAATAATGGGACCTGCAACTAAATGACCCTTAACCATCTTCAGTAGCAAATGTAGATCTAGAGGCTAGAAAGCAGAGGCCAGAGGCCAGAGACTAGAGCAGAGACTAGAGGGCAAGGGCAAAAGAAACATGATTGCTGTACCTATTTTGAGCCAAGTACGGTACATTACAGTGATTACACAATACACAAGCTTGATTTTAGTCGACCGATTTTAGATCATGGCTGAATGAACCTGCGCGTGGGGATAGATAACTGGAAGAAAGAATGTGTCTAATGAGCTAAATAATGCCATTGCATAACATTAATAAAATCTAGTAAATAAAATAAGATAAGTTGGGGGTTTTACGAAATTGGGGGTTTGGAGTTGACAGATCAATTCATCATATAGGTGATCACATCAGTCAGTGCTCTCGCTCTAGTGTTAGGCTTAATTAGTGTCGTCTAACGGGGGTTTGACGTTTTTTCCCCCTTCATTTTCGACTAAAATTCACCAGTTTTGTTCTCTTAGACACTTTATCGGTTTCATTCTTAGTATGGAGTATATCTAGCACTTAATAAAAATTATCATCCTGATTAAATTGTTTCGAGTATGGCCACACCAAATAACACCAGACCAAACTACAGACCAGGTCAAATCACAAACTACAAGCCAGATTGATTATCCGCCAAAAGAGGAAAAAAGACCAAAGCCACCGTAAGAGTACCATTTCCTACATGGGGTCGCAACATTGGTCGAATCAAACATCGAGAATTCCAAAGTTCTCCTGGTCTTTGTACAACTATGCTCCAATTAAACGGCTTAGACCCGATTAGAGACTGCGGCTCACAACATACACTACGATGCTAATGGCAGGCTTAGGCTTTTTACTACCTTAGTACCTCACGTAGTACTTATAGATCTCTCGGTTTTAGACGCTTTGAACCCTTAGATGAATCATATTCTACGGGGGTGCCATGTGGATGTGTCAAGCGGACATTGTGAAAAGAGGCTTCTCTACCTTTGAGATCGTATCAACCCAACTTTTTGTTCCAAAATAGAAATATATCACACCCTAAGAGCATTTAGTTCATGAGTTTCTATTAATCCAAGAAATGGCACAGCAAGACTTTTATACACCACTCAAGTACGTAAGGCTTCTCGAAGCTTTTTCTCGCTTTTTGCGACAACGGGAATCGACAAAGGGATCATCTTGCTGTAGGGCTGGGTTAACAAATTGCATCAGATGTATTCAACCAACGAAGCTAAAAAAGTGCTAGGTGATAAGTTCAACCTCTAAACCTAGAGAAAACTCAATTGCGGGAGCGCCTCGGACCTTGTTTCTCTTATGGTCCACCTTCAACCGTCGGTCCTGTTTGCTGACGGACTTGGGGGACTCGGCAGATCCAAAAAGAATTCAGAATCTACAACCAATCCAACAATTCAAACAATATTTTTTTTATATAGTAATCTTAACCGGTATCCTCTTTTTCTCTCACGCATCTCTTACAATTTAACATTCTACCCAACAGCCGCAATTATGCATATTTTCTATTCCTCTTCAGCTTGCATCGCTAGGGTCAGTCCAACGTTCACCAACGTTAAGTTGCCGCGATCTTGGTTACAATTGGCCCCTCGAGGACTGATCACCAACATATTCATCAGCTCGCCGTTCGTACTCATTCAATTAGTACAACTCTGCCCTACGGCTGAATCATTTCACATCGGCAGGTGGCCGGACTTTTACATGCGTGATTGATTGAATTCTACGATTGTTGGCAGAAACGCCGCTATGTCATGCACTTTCGCGGCAACGTCTCTACTTTCTCCTTTTCTATCTCCAATCTAAAAATTTATCCCTGAAAATGATCACAATGCGGCACTTGGAGCTGTCGAAGGAAGGTTTTGCGACTGGATTGGGCAATCTTCTGGACGGCCTGCTCCGGGGGCACCAGGCACAGATCGCCGGCAGGACTCGAGTTTTCTGCAGCCAAAAGATGATGATAGGATGGATGATGATGGTTTGAAGTACTAATTATTGCTATCATTGATGTTTCAAGAAGTTCGCCGCATCTCAGAAGGATCTCGGCTCTCTCGAAGATGGCTATTGTGTAACGATTGTATGTAGGTACGGGCCATCAAGTTACGGGCCAAGATTCGGTCAATGCAAGCAAACCTACCTACAGGAACAGGAATGTATATTCAATATTCTGAAGCAGGTCATATTGCAGTCTTCAGTCGGTATCGGCCCGCGCATCGGCCTCCCGACCTGCACTAAGGCATTTCTTGACTCCACAATGGGAGATGAAAAGGATTCCAACGGCTTCAAACTTAATATGCGTGGTTCATCACAGCACTTTAGCCTCTCGCGATACTCTGTCAAGTCACAAGGGGCCACAAGACCATTCGTTCTGCAGGGTTCCGACGTCATGTTATTTTGACGACGGATACCCACAGCCGTGTCCCTGTCAAATACGGGAGATGATTGACTAATTCTGCGACAGGAGACATACAGGATCTTGACTCGATTGAGCCTTTCGAGTTCCAATTTTTGAAATTCCCCTTGGCCTGCTACCTACAGGTTGCCTGGCTGAAATTACATTAGCTATGAGGTGATGACCTGATCAACCAGTGTCCATCTTCGATAAGCAATGTGATAGACACCGGATAATTTCGAAATTCTAGGAGTTCATGTGTGACGTCCGTTTGTTAGCGGCACAGCGAATTGGAGGCGATTAATAGACGCCGGTGGAATGACTATTGATATATCGTCTGAGGAAAACAAGGGTAATGAGTATGAAATTGAAGAAGGGGAATGACTGCTCAATATCCTTGTACTTTCCTCGTAAGCAAGACCGCGTCAAGTGACGGTAGTACAAGAAGCTGAGCAAGGGGTTCCTTTCAATATGAAGCCACACCTTAGAGACGGGCACCGGGGGAGACTTTCATCCGTATTGCAATGTGCCTAACTAATTATTAACTATCCTGGATGGGGCCACTCGAGACATTCAGAAGGGTTCCGGATCCGAAGAGAGGAGAATTGACAATATGAAATGCCAATACTGATCAATTGATATTGTGACTAGACAATAGACGCTAGATGCTAGACAAAACACTACTTCGTAGACATTAGAGTAGACACTTTACTTTAACTAGGTTCCCTTGTCTAACATACCCTAGGCTAAATACTATTCGATTTAAAACGTCCCACTTACCTCCGAACTCCGAAAAACAACCACAGGAGAGTAGACAACGCACCTACCACTACCACTACCACCACCACTACCACCACGACTCACTACTACACATCATGAAATGAAAGTCCTGTGAATACCGGATAGACAGAGACAAAGACAAGAGACAAATGAATGTGCAATCGTCTTTCGAGCATGGTTTGATGGTATTATTAAGAACACGCAGAAGGGCGTAGATCGACAAAACCTCTTTAAGCACCACTGGCATCCACATTGTTCTCTGGTTTGCTCCATAGGAACCTTGATCCCTTTCGGACCTGATGAGAATTCGGACTCGGATCGTATATTTATTGGGAAAGAAAATAAAAATGATTTCATTTCTGTTCAATGATCTTTCTGAAATCCACCAATGATGATGCTTTCAGGATAAGATATGCTCATAGCTACATGTCGCGTAACACGAGTGCATACATCCGAAGTCCACCGGGGCCACCATAACTCTCGTTTACGCTATGCCCTGCAATCACGGAGATAACATAAACTTGAAGAAAGATATCATGGCGGAGCTTCACCATCTAGAACGTCCACAATCAATCACAATCACATTCTGGGCGTGGTGCATAGTAAGACGGATCATATTCATCGTCAAGAGGAGGCGGGAGGGAACGCAGGGGAATTCTAGCTATCGAACATTACTCTACTCGTACTTTTCCGAGAATCGGTTTGCCCAAAAGAAATGGACACTACTGCTGATGGACAATACATCGTATTGAAGCATGCATGTATGCCTTCTGACTGTATAGCAAAACCGCAATGCATTTAGCTCTCTCAGCCGTTTCATCATTAATAGAAGGTAATCCGCTCTTGCATAAGTGAGTCTTGCAACGCATCGAATCAGCACACCACCACAATTCTCGAGGCCCAAATCGAGGCCCGTCTGCCTTCAGTCCTGGTCAGCTTTGCATCACGTGATTAAATATATTCCAATTCCATGGTTCAATAACTCTTGGTGCTCGTTCATCTTCATGAACTATGCGCCGATGTCTCGTAATTGAGGCTGAGCCCATAGTAGAGAATAAGAGGGCCTTGTTGGTTCTTGTTGGTGCTGTGTATTTTCGCCAGAGAAAGGAGAGAAGATCTTCTCGCGCTCTGGATGAAGTCTGGCAACAAGTCGAATTGAGATATTGGCTTAGGCAAATTTCTACTTGCATCCTTCCTTTTCTTGCGTTTTACGAGACTTCCAATTAGTCTTCATCAATTGGCACACTCGTTCATAGTTGGTTTTCGTGTTGGCAATCTGGGAGTCACACTTCACTTTCCCATGAACAATTGTGCATTCTCTTCGAACGGAGGAGAACACTCGCCTCTTTCATATCACAGCCTCAGCGTTAAGCCATCTATAGCATTGTACGAGCCGCGTGTGATATTGGCAAGTTTTTGAAGACTACTGAGCGCTTTGCTCGCCATTAATACCTCTCAATTTTTCCTAGCTCTATGGCAAGTCTTTTACCCCTCTTCATTTCACCCGTCAACCAAGTCTACTCCTTTCTTTCACATCATGTCAATTGTGGATTGGTTGATATGGAGATCAAGCACATAGATTGTTCAGTGGCTTGACGTGCTAGAAGGATATCATCGGTTGACGTCCTCTTCCACCTGCTCGTTTTGATCAATATTCCTGTCCACGAAGATATTGGGAGAGCACATCACTGAAAATGTATCCAATGAAGCTCATGTCCACTTTGTACCTCAGAGTGAATGTCCTATTTTGGATTTGTGTGCATGTTGAAAGTTGCGAATCTACAAGCACAAATGGTTTAACCTCGGCGTTATCTCAAGCTCGGATACCCCTGATGTTGTGTGGGGTCCCCTCTTTCTGCCATTCCGATCTTTATTCTTGACGGCGGGGTTTATCCAATCAATGGAATGTTAATAAGCCTTCAGTCGCAAACTGAACGAAGAGAGAGCTTGGAAGAGCCTATTTGTTTTCGTAACTTTACAACGTCCATTTCCCGTTTAGGGAATTAGCTTCGTCGTCGTCGTAGCTATACTCTCAATATATATCTTCATATATCTGCATGAATAATGATGTTTTCAATCTGCTTCAAGAAGACATAGTTTGATTTGCAATCATACTTCTTCCTGTTGATTACGCAATCACCAGATTAATTATCAGCCGACCAATCTTTCTTGCACGTGCGTTAATCCTGCATGATTCGGCGTTGAAAGCTTTCAAGTTGCTCCAACCGCGGTAGAAGGCTCAGTAGTTAGTGGAAATCACACCATAAAAGAAAGGTGACATTTTGTCATTCTTTTCCAGAACATTTTCTCTTCTTACTCTCAAACCCGAAATCTCTTCAATTCCCCCTAGAAAGTTCATCTCATTTCATCCACACCAAACCCCAAAATCCTATCCACCTCCCTCCTTAGACCTCTTCTGCGACCCTATCTCGCTCGTACAACATCCTTCCCGTCACACGTTCCAAACAACTTCTCCCGCAATCCTTCCCCCAAAACTACCTCACCAATCTTCCGGAACACAGCAAAGTAAAATCGCATACCTAGTCAAGCATCTAGGAACATTCTCGTATTCAATTTATTTAAGCTCATTCAGTCACATTACCAAATCCGCACCCAGAAAATGACCTCCCAAGTCCCAACAAATGCAGGAGCTTCCATGCCTGCTTCCGAAATCCAGGCTCTCGCCATGAGCGGACAGGAAAACTTTGTTCCCGCCGCTGAAGAGGCGAGTCAGTATTCGCATTCGTTTCTGTATCTGGCTCCGAAGACTTCGGCTGGTTATCCCGTGGCTCAGTCAGCCAAAGTGTCTGCTGCTTTGACGCCGCGTCAGCTGGGAGATCAGACGCGTGGTACAATTGGGGGTGAGGAACTCGGTGTAAAAGGAGTTGGTGGTGAGGATGGTCGTGCCAAGAATTTGGGCAGCATTGAGCAGGAATTGGGAAAGGCGTCGAGGAGTGAGAGCATGAGTAGTGAGGCGAGCAATAGCACAATTTCTAGTGTGGATGCACCCAAGGGGATGAGTTCAAGGCGTTTCTTGAAGTTGGGACCGGTTCATTCTGGCGAGGCAGGTTTGGGTGATTGGAGTGAAGAGGTGGTGGAGTAGATGGCGTTTTCTGGCTATGGACGATGTGAATGGGGTCATGATTTACGGTTATTATGGCAATTTTGATCACACGCTTGATGTGATATCATTGCGAAGGTGCAGATGAGCTTAAGATATTGGGAAATTAAGTATGAGATATGACATATGTTGATTTTGGTCGGCGAATTCGGGGCTTGAGGATACATGGGTTGATAACTGAGGGAGGGTTGATTAACCACGCGATGGGATGGAAATTTACACGCACAAGGTACTTGTTGGAAAGTATCGCTCTCGTCCCAAAGGAGTATTGGTCATGAGTCATGAATCACGAAATCTTTTCACGCATTTCACATTTTCCGTTTTCTCGCTTTCTTTCCTATTTCGCCATTTACCTACCCAGTTTGTTTCATCATTCTTGGGAAAGAAAATCAGGATCACAAGGTAGTAACGACCACATGGGAATTTTAGGTATCAATTCAAACTTCAATGCAACTGATAATTTTTGGGCCTCGACCCAAGAATCCTAAACCTGAGTTCTGACAAGTTTGAGAAATCCCGTTACACGGAAATAAAATGCATTCAAGACGCGGATAATGACATCACGTGAACTTTACCGTTTTTGTGTTTCGTCGCGTCAGCATTTCTATCATTTTTGCTTACGAGGTAAACGAGGTAGACGAGCTATCTTACCCAACGTTTTGTTTTCTGAGCTCACATCAGCGTCGCATCACTGCCACAGGTCCACAGCCGGTAGATCACTCTTACCTCACGTCACACACACCATGTGCTGGTATCTTCGTACCTTTCCCACCATTCATAGATTAGAATTCTTTCTTCAACGAACGATTTAGTATCATCATTCATGAATAGTTGTCATATTTCCCATCAGTTCGTGATTGCGCCTCTGTTTTGCTGCAAAATTTCGCTTCTCACATAAGATGAGATTCATATATAATACATATCACATCAGATTATCGTGAAACTAAACGTCCGATGGTTGGTATGCATAGAGGATCAGGGGGGAACGTTGCTATTATAGGAGAGAGTTTAAGGAGGGGTTTTTTTATTCAATATCATTTATTTTCTTCCGCTTCTTTAGTTATTTTCGAATCCTCAATCGGGAAGATAAAGACTGGTCAATTAATTCAGATGGATGAGAGGATTGGGTTGGGGGCGATTAGATGTCTCACTGTGATGAGATGACAACGCTGCTAGATCAAAATGACGAGGACATTGCAATGATCAAGATTCATGGTCTAGGTGAAATATTTACGATATGCCAGAGTAGAATATCTTACTTGGAAAGACTAGATAGATGCATGTGATGCTCATCTATTTCTTCTCACCGCAGCATCATGAGCTGTGGGTACGACGGAGATTATGATTAGGGCTATGGGAGTAGGGTGAAATGGAAGAACGCATGGAGAATATTACATTGAGAATTTGTATTATGCTGATCTGATCCAATCTGGATTTGGTCGAAGTTTTATGATATGTTTGCAATGGCAAACAGAGCAGAAGGAGTAGAGGAGGAAACCGGATAGAGTTAGATTGGTAGAATTGTCTCAAACATTGAAATAACCGCGAGAATTATCAGTCCGCCATTATCAAATTCTTGTATCTATTCATCTACTATCTTCGAAGTTGAAGATGTGCTCATAAAATACCTCTTCATTCTTCCCCAACATCAAGTAATCGAGTATAGTATCACCAACACAAAAGTCCCTGTACAGTGTACACACCCACCAAATCAACATTCCCTACTCTCTTTCCAAAACCTCCCACAACTGACACTCCCTCCTCTCCTGATACAAACATCCCTTCACTCCCTTCCTGCCCCTTCCACTTGCCTTAACAAATTTTCCAACCACATATTCAGTAACACGAAGCACAGCAGTAGCTTCGCTACATATACGTATCACTGCATCTACACCGCATTAGCTCACAATTCGGGTACCGATGTGCATGCATATTGCATGTATATGCAAATGTGTGTTTCCGAGGAAAGTGGAGTGACGGACGGACGCCATGTGCGGGAGGGAAGTAGGTTGATTCAATGATGAGGTGCGCGCGCAGCCTTGCTTTTTGTCGTTTGGTTTGCGATGGTGTATTTAGACTGTGAGTGAATGGGGGAGGTGGATGCGTGGGCTGTTGATGATGGGAATGTAACGAGAATCAAAAGTGTGATGATGATTCGATGGAAAGAGGATGTAATGTGATCTTGTGCTACGGAGTCCGGAGATGGCTTAGAATATTGAATTAATAATTTGCGATATATTGCACCAAATTCAACAAAGCCTAGGATACAGTTATAATTGACGATTTGTGAACTACCCGATGAGATTTGAGAACTCGCCACATCTTTGGTCGTCTTTCAACCGAGTTGAAAGATCTACGTAGACCAGGGGAAGATGTAGATTTTACAAAATCGAAAGCCTCAAGAACTCCGTATAAGATGTGCCGCTGGAGCGTATATACCACGTGTTCTCCTTTCGAATCATTTTCTTCTGGAGAATTTCACGAAGATTCATGCCCTTTCTCATCCTAACAGCTAATTTTACCTCCGAAAATATGAACTATCTACATACAGGGGCAGTATATGTATATGATGAACAGCTATTCGATTATGACTTACCGTCTCAAATTCGCATCTGGTCATCAATTCTTGTGACCAAACAGTTCTAGAAAACAAAGTAGCTCACAAATTCCTCTCCAATTTGCCACACCTGGATTGCTTCCAATCTATCCAGACAGTTACTGAACTACCAGTAGCTGCCGAAAGAAAATTACTTGATAAAGATGGGATGGACAACAAATTCCTCATAACTACAACGCAAAAATAGAAAGGTGGCCAGATCTCGCCTTTTCTCTAGACGACATAGAAGAAAACACATTCATTTGAGATATCTCCCAGGCACGATATACTTTCCGAAATCTAAGCACTTACGAAAAAGTATGGTGCAAGTTCAACTTTTGTGTCCAATAGCCCGTGAAATAGTCCAGAAATGAGAGTTTTTGGGGTTTCGAATTTGTTTAAATGTTGAAGGCTTTTGGGATACCGAAAAATTCTTCAAAATATTAATGTTGAGTACATCTTCCGGTCACCATGCTCGTTACCCTTTTCATAAGTGAGGGTTGGAACTGACTTGCCGCTCACAAGAAACCTCATTGATTCAAAAGCTCGGATATTCAGAGAATATTTGAATGCCAAAGACCTAGACACTGAAGCTAGAGATTATGAATATTACACTGGTTTATCAACAGCTCCAAGCCAAACTTTTCAGAGCCAATCACCATGAAAATTCTATGCCATCATCGGTTTTTACGTCCATATCCCACGGCTGTTTCCATAATCACACACACACCTGGGACTTATTCTGAATATTAGAGTCTTGACCCAGCTTGTCGTCTAGTCTCATCTTTGAAACTCTCATCATTATCCCAACCCGTTTCATCGCGATAATGCATCGATGGATCCTCTACTCTTGATGGTGGAACATCCCTATACTGGCCATCGGCTGTTAACTCCTGGGTTCTCAACATAATTGCTCGATCTTTCTTCTTCCCTAATCCCATTCTTTGTCTTCTTGAACCAGTTCCGTATCCCTTGCGTCGACCCATCACATTACCCATCCCAATAGTGCGATGCTTTCGATTGCAATACCACGTTCCACCAATGACTATGGCAATAAATGCGAGGACTGTTGGAAGGGCAATATAGAGAGAAGCGCCTTGTGGAGCTTTGCTTGGAGATTGACGATATGGTTCAGGCGCAGGAGAAGTAGTCACCATGAGTGTTGGTCCTTGTACGGAAATGATATCCGTTTTCTGGGTGGGAGTGACGAATAACGTTACGTTGTTGAACTTCATACCCTTCAACCAGCTCTTATCTATCGTCCAAGAAATGAAACCAAGATTGTTACTTGTGGGCACTGATTGAAAAGCCTGTACCCCTCCGCCTGAAGCATTTACATAGTTTGCCTGTATAAAAACCGAGATATTCGACTCGGCGAAGTACCGAGCATCCCAAGTAACTGTCTCATGTCAGCAATCATCCTATACAATAAGATAGAAATGCTAACCATAATATGTCTCGTCGACATATACACTAGACCCATTATCTGGCTTACAAAACGGCGCAAACTTTCCTTTGAGATTGTGGCAGATCTTAAAAGCTCCACCGCCTGTCGATGTAGGTACCACTTCACTAGCTGTAGATGTAGTTGATGCTTCAGAGATAGAGGAAGCACTGGTAGCAGTCAATTGTGCCGGAGCAGCATCGATTGTAGTGACTTTACTATTGATCGTCGTAAGGATGGGAGTAACTGTTGACGCATGTCCACTGGCATCAACGGTGACCCATGGATTCAATCCTTCATCTGTAATTGAGGTTGTAGTTTCTAATGCTGAAGGTATTTCGTTTGTGCTAGTGGCATCCATTGCGGTAGAAGTGGGAGATCTAGTTGAGGAATTATCGCTGGAATTGGCTGTATCGGATTCTGTGGAAGAATCAGTCAATATAAAAATGCTTCTTAAATAGAAGGCAACCAGTTTTTACTTACCTGCTCTACGAGCTGGGGAGGCTTCTATAATTCCATATAGAAGGCCCATTACTATTGCGAAAAGTGACACTCGCATTATGCTCTTTTCCTACCTAGGTATTATTCAATCACGAATGATTACACCTTCACTGAGTTTGATGTTAAACCAAATGAATTGACCTCAAAGGGTTCGGAATGACGAGTAATCAAGGAATCAATTAACGAAGAATCTCTTATGGAAACATTGTAATTGATAAATTTCAACGAGCACATTGAAATGGATAGCTGAGGGAAGGGATTCAAAGCACGGACGAGATCAAGCTTGTCTGTGCACATTTACGTTCCTGACTAAAATTGACATGGGCTTCCTTATCATGATATCCCATTGGTTGTCTTTCGCATTTTATACTCTCGGGTGTAACCGAAATCTGGGGATAGTGTCAGTGACCTCAAATGATCGCTGTCGCCGTTTATTCTCCACTCTACCATTTGATGCACATCAACGAATGCAAGCTTTTTCAACAATCTGTCTGTACTCAATGATGTTTTGGGCATTTTGCTCTTGAGCACTTGAACCGATCGTTACGCCTGTAGTTCTGCGCTCCAGGATAAAAGCTGACATACAGCTCTTTGAACCCAACCTTCAACTTTTATATAATTGGCATTGTGTTGGATACTCTTTGTTGTCTTTGAGTAGTTGTGATCAAGTGGACCTTCGGCTATTCCAGGGGCTGGCTCAACAAGAACCACAAAGACCTTGCCTTGAAGTCTTTATTTACACTATGCTCTCGTATCAAAACATGCGCAAAGTCATTTTAACTCATCCCATGTAGGAATGAATTTTGCACTTTCTCACAAAATTGCTGCATACATTCTTCATGATGTTTGTGTATCAGCGTCTTTGTGAAGTAAAGACAACAATAAGGCTCTCTGGATGATATGTCTGGGAGTACATATAATGCTATCGGAGACAGACATTCGTCTTACAGATGGGACAGTGATTTGTGTAACCTATGCCAAGGACCTGTAATGCTTTTAAATAAATTATAGCTTCATATTTTTTGTGGACGAACTGAGCAGCACTTCACTTAAAGTACTATTTTGCATACGATTGGTAGACTGTGTATCGTTCTCATTACTCCTAAACGGATGATGTAATATTCTCACCTTCTCATAATTTGCTATTTTCTGAGTTTTCATAGGCCTTTTTTGAGCATATTTTGCTCGATAACTAATGAAATTATTGATTGGAGAGAAGATCATATTTTCAGATGAATTAAAAGAGTATTTGAATACTTTGCGGCACTTGTTTGAGCCTTTTCATTCCACTGCCGGGTTCTTTTTGGAACAAAGATAAAGGGAAAATGTGTGGTTCAATGCAAAGGTAGTTCAGAATAATAGGATACATGCGACCTTGGAATCTTAAAGTAATAAGAAGATGCGTATTGTACTACTAAATGTCAAAGATCATCTATCAGGTAACAGGTTGCTGTATCCTTCGCCTAATTGGCTTAACTATATGGGTCCCAGTGAATTGCCAAAATGACAGAGCACATAACAATTCAATTAACTGAAATTTGAATTCACTTCAACATCGGTTGGCTCAGCCTTAAAAGCTTCTTGCATCCTGCTTTCTTTCTCTTTTTTTCTCCACAAACTTTCACACAACCACCACATACCATAATCATGGCTATAGAACAACCTCCTCTCGTCGTTGATCCTGATTTGCTTGATGATCTACCCATTCCTTCCCCTTACACTCTTGCTGAAGCTTCTGTCCCTGATCGTATCGAGTGTGTCGTAAGTATTTACTCTACTTACATTATGAATTATAGACTAGGTTCTGATTGAATTAAACTGATATCCTCGTTCTTAGGTTCCAATATCTATCCGTCCCTCTCTCATCGACCCCAAAAACAAAGGTCTTTATGTTGATAAGGCTGTATCTCCTGGAGACATCTTGTTTACAATTGAAAAGCCTTTGTTCGCCATTGTAGGTGGTTCTATGTTCCTCTTTCTTTCCTTTCTGTTCATCGTCGTCTCTTAGTACATTTGTCCTTCAAATTAGACGAATTCTCAATCGGATCAACCAAACATCTGTAACACTTACAATCTACAAACTGCAAGCTACAAACTTTGGCCCCTGCCTATCGAACCAACACTTCAAGTTAGACTGCATGCCAATTTCTGCAGATATCCTCAAGAAATTCTGGCCTTCTAGTCTGACACACATCTGTCTTTGATGGCATGATCAGAGTTCATTTGCAGTGTACTTGCAGGATACTTGCAGACTACTTGCAGGCTAGTTGGAAAGCTTTCAATAAACATTTCTTCCAATTTGTATACTCCCAGTTTTCTTGCACATAAAATTAAATATCTTAAAGATTATTTCTTGTCCTCAAACCCTCAAGGTCACGCCACAAATTCGTTTCAGATTTCTCGAAAAATGGGTTTCTTCATCGCTCTAGGTAGTCATGTGCTGCCTTTTAAAGTGAAAGTTGATCTACGGACTACCTTGTACCTAAGTGCATTGGAGGTAATGCACTGGTGACTTTGGGTTCATCTACGAAAAGAGCTCTCACAGTTTCTAGCATTTCAAAGGACTCAATTGAGGTTTATTGTTCATTCACTTAGCAATCTTTGAGTCTAGATACATTCCTAGTACTTCGTTTACCTTAGAGCACTCCATCAAACCTGAATGCTTCAAAAATATACTAACCTTCCAATACTCATAGGTCGAACAGAAGAACACGAGATTGAGAACCTGCGATAACTGCTTCGCATACCAGAGCGTGGAGGATAAAATAGGGACTGTCAGTACTGTAGAAAGAGATATCGAGACAGCTATCCCATTCGACCAATGTGGAAGCTGTGGGGTACACCACTACTGTGACCGGGTAAGGTTAACACTTGTCATTATTTTCAATTTGTTGAATCTGGTTTGAAATGCTAACACAAAACAGAAATGCCAGAGGGAAGCATTTGAACACCATCATAAGCATGAATGTATTACTTTCGTAGACTTTTTGTCCGAAGAGCCCTCAGCAGAGTCCTTCATTGAACGTACGGATTTCCGCTTTGTTCTCCGTTTCCTGAGCATGGCAAAGGCAAATCTTCTTACAGAAGCAACAATGAGGGATTTCTTCACAGCACCAATAGGTAATTTGTATGACTTTGGGCCTTCTATGGAGACTTCCTACAGAAATTTGAGTCTCAATATGAAACTTCTCGCAAAGTCGCCTGTGCACGAAGATTCAGTCTTACGTATTCTCTGCTTTGTAAGTTGACAAGTTCGAATATTTTGCACAGTATTAAAAGGCTAATCACTATGGCAGGCTGTTCATCAATCTATTCTGATGCACCAACCATTCATATGCCAATTCGATAGGTATGATATAAGTTATTGGGACACAAGTTCTCCAACGAGAATCAGTTGTGGTAGTAAGTAAAGCTTATTTGATAATACTCAGTCTAATGTTTTCAAAATAAAGGCATAATAACAAATATATTTCTAGGCTGCTACGAGCCGTTTATCACAATCATGAGAAACGATTGCAATGCCAACACTCGCGAGTACTTTGACGGAATGACATACATTCTACAAGCTAATTGTGCAATCCCTGCCAACACTGAGATTACCCGCCATTTCAGTTCTTGGAATGACTACGAATACCGTCGTCTTCAATTTACGAGGAAAGAAAAGCTTGATTGCAAGTGTAATTTATGTACTCGAGGAAATCTAGGACCAACAGGTAATCTTCGAGAGCGCATGCTTTCAGTTCACGTTTCTAATTACAAGCCTGGACTCGACAAGGAGCTGCTGAAAGAACAACTAGCGATCGATCACAAAGTTATTGCTGATTTGAGATCCAATGGATTCGGCTACGATTGCCCTGATCTAAGAAGAGCATATATGAGTATATTCGGCGGTCAATTTGAACTAGACTCCCGAACTAGAACTCAGGATTATAAAGGGTCCTTGAGACTTCTTCTCACCGTCTACTACTTGATCGATCCAGTTGCATGCCCGGCACCGTCACCGGAAGAACGCATCAAAGTTCTGCATTTTCTCACAGTTATAGCTTACATTGGAGAAGACTCGCCATCCAAGGTTAGCGAGATCGTCCTCACAATGCGTAAATTCATCTATCATTGGCGTTCGCAGCTCGTCCACTACTCCAGGCAAATGGGTGGCCCAATACCAGGATTGCTACATTCCACCGAAATGCATTCAAGGAAGACCTAGAGGCTGGGGATATACCTGTTCATACGGATAAAGATGCTCTCGTGAAGGAGTTAAATGGTTGGTTCAAATTGCTTGGTCTTGCTGAGATGACATCAGAGCAGATTCTTCATACTTAAACGGACCAAACAATGTGTAGGAAGAGCATTTTGTGGTTGAATTGACTTTGGCATATGTTGCCTTGACAGAAATTGTGATTTCTCCCACATAGGACTTTGGAGGAATCATGGAGAAGAAACCATGAAAGTCTACTCACAGGGGATGCCGATAGTATTTAATATCGGAGGAAACAGAATGCAACATCGCGTTTCAGTGCGGAGGTAAAATAATCCACGCGAGAAACAAACATAACGTAGTTAGATGAATCACAAAGCCTTCCTATGACCCACAAGTCCCAATGCTATGTAAACCACGGTAGAAACCTACACAATATAGGATGTTATGACAAGAGCCCAACAAACATACCTAATTCATATCTTGTACATCAGCATTCACCACTTAACAAAAGGCTCGAGTTGAAGGATAACTATTGGGCTGACCGGCAATTTGGAACTCGGACTTGACCGACCTGGAAGCATAGGAACTTTAAATCAGAACTTCACAATTCTGCAACCATATTATGGCTCGAGTCATTCAAACTAGAATTTCCGGTCAGCTGGTACACTAGTAGTAGGGCTTACACAACCCGCAGAAGGTCCACTCGTTGAGTTGTCGGTGCATTTATCGGTGCCCTGAAAATAAATTATAGCGAATCAAATTGCAATTCGGATGATTGTGGTAAGAGCTTCTTGGATCTTGGAAGCTAAAAGTCTTGTCAGATTCGTCATAACCACAGTGGAGAAGTGCAGATATTATACACGCGGAAATACGCTCTTGGTGGGTCTTACATATTTGAGAGATTGAAGAGTTCTACGTAGATTTCGACCACTCGGGGGGCTGAATTGATTTGGAAGCTTATTTTTCCATAAAGTAGTTGGATTGCCACATTTAAAGAGCGACATACCAAGCTGGCCGGGACAAAAATCTATTGCAAGGGGCAGTACATTACTTGGGACCAAGGAGAAGTACTCGGTAATATTCACACTGTTACGATAAGCAGCCGTCACGACGGCAGATTGGCTGGCTATATATATCGATCTCGCGCCCTATGAGCAAATTCCTTCTCGCAGACCTCTTTCTCGGCCCAACTTCAATTTGCAAACGGGCTTGAACATCCAAAACGAACATTGTCAGAACGGCTTACTTAGTTAGGCATTTAACGATCATCTTAACGATTTAATTATGGCTACAAGCGAAACCCAGAACAAGAGCACTTTTGCCGTTGATATGGTTAAACGGTTTTCCCAGCACGCTGATGGCAAAACCTGTATGCACTTCACATTTTCCCTAATCTCGCCTATGTCCGATTTTACTCTAAACACCCCATATAGTTCTCATTACCGGTCCCAGTGAAGAAGGAATCGGGGCAGAAATTGCCCTCTCCATTGCCTCATCGTCAAGCCCTTCAATGATAATTCTTGCCGGTCGCCAAAAAACAAAAACTCTCTCCGTCATGTTCCTCATCCGACGAATGAACCCCAACATCAATGTTGTCTGGATCCCACTAAACTTACTTGATAATGAATCTATCCGAGCAGCAGCAGATGCTATCAAGAAATTAGACACTGAGAAAATACATGTTGTCATCAATAATGCTGGAGTTATGGGCGTACGAAATTATACAACCTCCAAGCAGGGTATTGAGGGTCAATTTGCTGCAAACTACTTGGGACACTTCCTATTGACCAACTTGTTGATGGATCAAATTATCGCAGCGAGAGAAGAGAGTGCAGTAATTGTTAATATGGGGAGCTTGGGGTATGAACTGGGCGAGGTGAACCTTGATGATGTTAACTTTGAGGCATGTCGAAGTATTTCTTTTCCCACTGCGAAACCGTCGGTTAACGGACCTGGGTCGTAGGGAGGGCAAAATTATAATGCTTGGAAGGCATTCGGACAATCGAAGACCGCAATGCTTCTCTGGAACATTGCTCTAGGCAAAAGACTGGCCAACAAAGGTATCTCAACATTAGTCGTGCATCCAGGAAGTGAGTCGCTTACTATGGTATTGTACAAGAAAGCTATATTGATAACATTAAAGCCACCCTCGAAACCAAACTTCTCGAAAACTCTAGTATTGATCAAGTGCAACTTGCAGAGTCGTACAAGCTTGCTATAGATAGAAATGAGGGTTAGTAGCTTTACTAGTATTTACTTCAGGAACTGATTCGAGAAAACAGGCAAATCTCTCCAGCCTCAGAACATGGTAACAAGACAAGTGTCAGCCGGTACAATCATACTTGCCGCACTAGATCCCGCATATAGAGGTACATTCCAGTCTCCAATCATCGACTAACTTGCTGATTACAAGCTCTAGCACTATCTCCGGCGTTTATCGTTGACGAGAAAGTAAATTCACAGACTAGGAGCTACGCAACTAGCGAACAAGATGCTGAGATACTGTGGAAACTGAGCGAACAACTTGTCGGGGAAACATTCAATATCTAGAAAATAGTACCACGGTGGAACAGTGGAAGAAATTTGAAAGAGTCGACGAACAAAATTCACTAGCAACTGAGCGCAAACAGCCAGCAAGAAGCATGTGAAATTTTTCGATGTTGATCGATTTCAGCAAAGGATGGAAACAGTTCTAACCGCAGCACAAAAACAATTATACTTCCAACACTAATTTCACACCACTGACCCCCCCTTTCAACTCGTCTAATGCTTTGTTTGCGGAATCCAATCCCCCATCTACTACTTTGATACTCGGGCTTGGTACAAACTCTCCCGTTTGCAGTTTCTCCTTTAGCCAAGTCCAATAGAGCCATTGCGACCATTCATCTCTTTCGGCATCATCTGTTGGCGCAGAAACGAATTTGATGTTCATTCCCTCCACAGTTAGTGGCTGGGGATTTAATCTTATTGCTGATGCTAAATTGGCGACATTATCACCCTTCGTAGCTTTCAGGACGTCCAAGATGGGTTGTAGTGCACCAGCAGCATCATATGCCAAATCAATTGCGATCCCGTCTTCTTTTGCAGACTTCACAATGTTTTCTACAACAGCACTGTCTTTGTAATCAAACACTTTCGAGGCACCGAGTTTCTTGACATACTCATGATTGTGTGGGCTAGCAGTTGCATATACCACATATCCCATGTTCGCGGCTTGCTGTACACCCGCCCCTCCAACGCTACTGCTTCCACCCCATACCAAAACTCCTTTCTTATCTGAAGGTGTGAATTTTGTATCACGCGCCAAACCAACAGAATACCAAGCAGCCATCGCAGTTTGCACAGCCATTGGAAGAATTGCTCCTTCGTTGAAGCTCATTCCGTCAGGCAACGGGCATACACTTGAAGCTGGCACAAGAACTTTCTTCTGAAATGCTCCATAATTTGGATCGCCTTTTGTGAAGAATGCGGGCGCAAAAGCGGCTACCCGTGTTCCCACTTTCGGTGCAGCAGCTGGCACAGATTGGCCGGCAGCAACAACGATGCCAGAAATATCGGATCCGGGAATTGCGGGGTAGGTAGCACAAAATAACCCGTGGTCGCGCATATAATGGTCGATCGGGTTACACGCAATTGAGTGGACCTCTATGAGAAGTTCTTTGGGACCGGGAATTGGGGTGGGTCTATGAACTATTTCAAAAGGGCCACCCTTCTCAGGAATGATAGCAGCAAGATGCTGTGAGTTTGTTGTTGTTGAGGACATTATGATATGAGAGATGTTCAAACGATGTTTCTGGAATATAGTTGATTGAGGACGATAGAATTGTGTAGTAAAGGGAGGGCCATATCTTTGCCTTTATACCTACCTCACTTCGGGAGTTCGGAGTCATTGCATTTTGAACCCTGAAGAAACTCATAAAATTCAAGGAAGCGGAGATTTCATTATGCTCGACATCAGCCAACATTCGTTGATCTTCGCCGTTGTATCGTCTCATTGAGGATGTTTAGGATTCAGGCTAATCGCTTATCGTACCCATTCATATTCATAGGGCTAAAGCTAACCTCATATCGTATTCCATAGAGTGGGTCATCTGCCATGGTAGGTAGGGTGATTTGATTGGGTGAAACTATACGATTCTGAAAACTCGTGATCTGATACTCTTATCACCTAACACCGGCTAAACGACGTTGGAAGTCTAGATCTTCCGCTCACCTCTGATAAATGAACTTAGTTTTACTACCACCGGTAATGAGAAAAGACAGACGCAAGAAGCCTGCCATTCTTTGTGATTCCGGCGGCATCATGGCGCGTGAAGTTATCACTCGAAAATACTGGCTCCGCGATTTCTGTCACATTTTTCATCTCGACCTTCTAGTACTCTCACAATACAGCTTATATTTGATACCTGTGACAAAATCATAGTTTGAGCACCTTCCATAATCAAAAATCTACGTACCAGTATCAAGAGTGAATATGTAAGTATTAAATTAAGCATGACTGACATTCCAAGGCTTGCTACCATAGCTCAGCATATTCTCGTCTCAAACCAGATTCACTTCGCACTGCGATTACAACAATAGAGTGTAAGAAGTCACCGCCTTCTCTGCCCGAACATAAGACCCACTCGCTCACTCTATCAGAAGAAAGCAATCCAAAAAAGATAATACTCAAAGACCAAAGAATGCAAAACGATCAACGCCACACACAACGGCAGGCATTAAAGCACCATGACAAATTTAGCAAAATCCTTAGGAAAAAAACAATCACAGATAGCAAAAGAGTTCACGCGCCTGGTGCGCCAGGCGCGCTACATCTCTGTTGACCTATCTCGCGGTATCCCTGACTCCGAAGGGATCGAATGCTCCCCACAAAGATACCGCGCGCACCTCGAGTTATCGTGTCTAACTGTTAAGCTAGATTGTCGCTTTGTCAATACCACCATTTGACGAGGAGTGATGCGATATTTGCAGATATATTTATTAGGCGAACGAGGAAGGTTGTGCAGCTGGTGCAATTGTGACAAAGCCCATGGAAGCGAAAAGTGACCAACAATTAAATAAGAAATGAAACTTGAAAGGACGAAACCTTGCGCATACCATCCTATCTATTCTATCTGTAGTCTAAAATCCTTCTAGCTGTTCCAATTCCTGAAATATTAAACATTTTGAGAGTCAAAATAGACTCGACAACTGACAAGCAAACTCTATATTTAATCAGGCGCATAATTCCATACAAATCTCAGAAAACAATGGTCTATCCATAACAATAGGATTGGTACACTTGTAATGCAACTGGTTCAACTCCTCAATCGCATACCCTTCTTTTTCATCCCAAACATTGAGATTATCCACAGCAACGACTTTTCGCGCCACCAAACTCAACATATCTTCAATCAAATGACCAAAGGCTAAGACTTCCATCTTTTCGATCGCCTCTGCATGATCGTAGCCCTTTTGATATATTGTCGCAGCGCCGAAGTCTCCAAGGAGAGCATGACCGGAGTCATCGATCAAAATATTATGCGCGTACAAATCTCCATGGGTGATTCCTCTTTCATGGAGATGCTTACTCGCGGATGCGATAGAGATTAGAATCGCGCGGCATTTCTCGATCGAGAAGACAGTTTCTGGATGGAAAGCATCGCGCGTACAACTATCAAGAGTTGGCGGAAGACCCAAATTTGTATAGCGAGGAGGAATAAGCTCGAGTACTAATCCTCTCTTTTCTGGATGGCCATGAATCTTGCCGATTGGATCAATGAGATTCGGGTGACGACCTGCAGTGATGCATGCATTCATTTCGTCTGCTGGTACGCCATCACTGGTCACCTCGCCTTTGAATAATTTGACAGCGACATTCTTTTTGGCCGTAGACGATTTCCACACACCCTTTGAGATTATACCCGAAGCTCCTTCTCCCAGAAGGTGATCAATCTCCAAGTCTGACCAAGAAATATCATCTAATGTGGGATTGTCTTCATTTGATGGAGTGCAAGGGTTTCCAGAGAACGAAAGAAATGATAATTCGGGAAGACTGAACAACCAAGGGGGTAAACGAGCGATCTTGTTGGCCGACAGTCTCAGCAAGCCCAACTTCCGACAATGAGACATTTCGTCAGGGAGAGACGTTAAGTCATTTCCTGCCAGCATGCATTTTTGAAGTCTGTGACAATTTCCAATACTGTGTGGTAGAGATTCAATCTTATTATTGGTAAGGATCAGCCACCGTAACTTGCGTGGAAAGACTCCTTCGGAGATCGTAGTCATTCCATTGTTTTTGAAGGCAATCATTTCCAGGGAACGGCATTGAGCCAATTCTTTGGGGAATTGAATGAAATTGCAGTCGGAAAAGAAAGCAACCTTGAGTTTATGGAGTCGATGAATCCCTTTGGGAAGCGTTGAGAGAGGGTTATTAGATAGATCAAGAATCTCGAGCGTATCGTAGAGGTCCAAGATCTCTCGAGGGAACTCTGTGAGACCACATGATAACTTCAACCGTCTCGTTCCTTTGTATTTCCCTGCTCTAAGATCATCGAAAGATTGCATCATGGGCCTTGATGGATGCACAGTAATTGTACGTGGAAGAACTGCGTGTGCTGCGTGTGCAGTGTTGAGGATGAGGGTTTGTGGAAAGAAAGCAGGCTGGAAATCTCCCCGAGTATACTTCAAAATCACGGAAAATACATACTTCTTGGCTAACGATACAGCAAAAGTCCAAATGACACGAAGAAAGGGGTGAGATGAATCTGATGAAAAGCAAATGCTGACACCAAGCGTTTCGGATTATGTTGTTCCAGCTCCGAGTCACATGTAAGAGGCATAAGTAGTATCACTATCACCAATTTTAACAAGAATAAGGGCGTGAACTCAGCCAAAGTCTAATGAGTTCAAACGAAAGTGTTTCGTGAGAATCCAGTTTGATAACCCTCTAATAACGTCGGATCAAGAGCGTAAAAAGGTCCTATTTTCACCGGAGGCCCATCGCTTCTACCTTCCGTGTTCTAAAGCTTTCATCGCTTAAAGTTACCTAAACCCAAACTGTAACTTTCACGAATTCGAGCGCATTTATTTACAAGATCGACGACGCGACAACTTATCAGCCTTCTTCGTATTTTGGCTCATATCATCTGAAACTCGACTACCTTAACCTTCTGTTGTCAAAAGCCTCTTATCGTCATGGCATCACAAACAATGAATTCGTCAATGCAACCCACTGACGTTTATGGAGGAGGTAAATACTTTTTTAGCCAGCCACCTCAAAGGTCCATGGATATTTTACTAACAAAATCAATTAGATGAAGTATCAGCCATTGTAATTGACCCGGGATACTCAAGTATACGCGCCGGATTCGCAGGAGAAGATACCCCCAAATCATTCATCAACTCACATTATGGTGTTCGTGATGGAGAATCATTTTACGGCGACAATGCGATTCACAACCCCAGCGCGAACCTCGAAATCCGCAATCCAATGAACAAGGATGGAATTGTTGAAGACTGGGATACTGCGGAACAGTTATGGAAATATGCTATTACTTCGCGACTTACGA